TGTGCAGTGGGAGCTTTGCAGGGGATTTCATTTTCCAAAAATCAAACCTGAAGGGATTTTTTTGGTGCTCTGGCCTTCTGTTCAGCAGTATCCACTGTAATATACAACACTTTATACATTTTTACTTGTTTAGTATTACAGTTACAGTATCCACTATTACACAACTTACACAAAATCTTTATCCGTATTGTTTGATTAAAAAAAACTGTATTATCACATTTTCTCAGACAACACAATTTTGTGATTTTCAGTCTGAATCAGTTTGACCTTTTGTAATTGTGTTGAGATATTTCATGGAATTAGAAGCAGAATGGGAGGCAGAGCCTTTAGCTATCAAGCTCCTCTCCTATGGAACCAACTCTCAGTTCGGGAGGCGGACACCCTCTCTACCTTTAAGATTAGACTTAAGACGTTCCTTTTTGATAAAGTTAGGGCTGGATCAGGTGACCGAGTCTTCCCTTAGTTATGCTGCTATAGGCCTAGGCTGCTGGGGGGCTCCATGATGCTCTGAGTTTTTTTCACCTCCCCTCCTGCTCTGCTCTCCTCTCCTCTTTCTCCCTATGCTTCTATATGCCATCATTACACATTACTAACTTTGTGTCTCCTCTCTCCCGTAGTGTTCTCTCTCTCTCTCTCTCCTTGTACCTTTCTGCAGGTTGCCCTGGCCCTGGAGCTCTAAATCTCTGACGAGCAGTCACCAGCCACATCGACCTGATCAGTGTTTGATTGTTGTCTTGTTGCTTTTCTTCTTTTCTCTCCTCTATCCACTCACCCCAACCAGTCAAGGCAGAAGGCCGCCCACCAAGAGCCGGGGTCTGTCGGAGGTTTCTTCCGTTAAAGGGAGTTTTTCCACCCCACTGTCGCCAAGTGCTTGCTCAAGGGGGATTTGTTGGGTTTTCCCTATGTAATAATATTGATAACAGTAAGGTCTAGACCCTACTTTGTAAAGTGTCCTGAGATGACTTTTGTTGTGATTTGGCGCTATACAAATAAAATTTGATTTGATTTGAACTGCTCTGACATGATTAAAAGCTTCTCCAAAAATGTCAAACAAATCGGTGCGTGTGTCATCTGGCACTGCAGATGGCTGCCTCAGTTCTGTACCAGATAAAAATTTCTTGTGTGTATAAGATACTTGGCCAGTAAAAGTGACTGAAATATCAGTTTTAGTGAAATATAAATGCCCATTTGCAACCAATAACTAGGAGTCATGAGAAGCCATAGTTTGGCTTTAAAGGGTCAAATAACAAAAGGTTTGGGAACCAGCATCCTAAAGGAGCATCAGAGTACTCGATAAACTATTATTATTATTATTATTGCTAGGTTGTTTCCTTGTGTTCTGTAATTGCACTTTAAAACACCTCTTTGGTTAAAAATATCTATTGTAAACAAAGCAGCTATGAAACCTTTATACTCTTAACAGATAAGAATATTTGTCAGTGAATCTTAGTGTGCGTTAAATGACACCCCAATGTATGGCTGTGACTCAGTCTGGCTTTATTCATATACTGAAGACATGACTAAAGTTGTCTGGGACATTGTTTCCTCCTATGAATCTTCACTGATTAGAGGTGCAGCTAGACTTGATTCTTGGTGAAGTCTTCAAGACATTTATAAAATTAATAAATTGACAAATACTGTGCAGTCAAATGAGAAGAAGATTCTGAGTTCATTCTGATTTAGTGCTCTTGGTAATCAGCTGCGGAAATGTTTGAGTGTGTTCATGTGTAAAGGGCATATTGAGTACCTCCAGTACCTCCACCACAGAATTATACCCTGAAGGGTAATACTTAATCATACAATCATACAGTCACCATTAGAGTACATACAGTACTGTATGTACTCTAATGGTGACTGTATGATATATTTTACATAGGTTATGTAAAATATTTCAAAAAAAAAATCAAATTGAAAAGACAGTGTATGAGGGGATGCATAGGGTTTTATGAACCTGCGGGAAAGTCCTGCTCCTAAAATGTTCCAGTGTGGTTTCACACTAAAACCACACAACACAAGTCTTTCACCTGATCCCCTTTTCCCTGTCTCCTTTCAAGCATCATTTCCAACATCACAGTCATGCAATGTTGAATTAAAAAGAGCAATATTTAAAGGGTAGCTATACCCAGGGAAAGCAACTTGCTAGCGCTGCCCTCTAATGGTGACTGTATGATTGTGCAGCTGTGTAACACTGTGCAATATAATGATGCACAGATGAGTCTAGCTACAAATACAACAAACTAGACATGACCCCACCCAGCTGTGACTTTTCAGCCCATAAAGATTATTGCAACAGTACTTTTTCTCCAGACATGATTCTTTGTGGAGTTACATTTTTTAGATTGGTAATACAAATCTGAATTAGCTAATAAAAGTAGTTGATGCAGTTAGTACTGAAAACAACTTGTGTCTTAGAACTATTTGAGTGAAAAAGGTCACAACAATAGAGAGAAATTTTTCCATGATCCAAAAATCAAATAGAGACCTGGCATCATGTACCACCATATGTTACCTTGTGTAAAGATCAGCTTGATCAGTTGCCCAAAATACTCACAAGACATTGCACTGAAAACGTCAATCTCACAAACTTGAACAGACCCAGCAGTCTCAGTCTCAGTGGATCTTTTTTTTTTGGTTAAAAAAATTTACAGAGCATACTTAAAGTCAACCAGGGCATGATGAAACCAGGTAAAACAAAGACTATTCGCAACTGTGACTGAAATGTCTGATTCTAAGTGCTTGCATTTATCGGCTGATGATTTTCAACATTAAGTCAATGAGACAATAACCAGACTAGAAAATAGCAAAGGATAACTCTCATTGCAATCTATATGCTCAGAAACAATTGGACAATTACAGCAATATTGCCAAAATGGTACAGAATCATATTCCATTCAATTCAGTTTAATTCAGTTCATTTGTATAGAGGCAACAACACTTGTCTCAGGGCACTTTACATAATCAGATCTAAGCCTTATACTATTGAATGAATGAATGACACTTTATTATAGACTCAAGGTCCAAGGTCCAAGCTCAGAACAAATAAACAATAAAAGAACAGTTAAAAAGAAACAAATAAAAAAACGAGTACAAGAGAACAACCATAAACTAATATCCCTTTAAAATGCAGGCATACCAGTGTTTCCAGAGAGCAGAAGTAAAACGCATGTTACTGTATGTAATATTAGTCAACAATAAAATGATATGATTTTCAGAATAATTCAAGCAACAGATAAATTTAAACATCAAATTTCTTAAAACAGCGAGAAATGTACTAATTCGAGATGACATGAACAATTTGCTAGCGCTCGTCCACACAGGCTTTTTCAATAATAGCCTCAGGGCATCATTGTAAGCCACTGACAGCTTCAGAAGACTGCCCTTTTTATAATTACACCACAGATGGGCAGTGTACAAGGAGGTACAATAAGCTTTAAACAAAGCCAACTTTACTCCAACCGAGCATGAACCAAACTTCCATCCCAATACATTAGCTTGTACATACAACATACAGCACTGCCGATATATATCCCTGTCATCAATCATTGATGACATGACCCAAGTACTTAACTTTATTACACACAGTTAAAATATTACTGGATAACTTAAAAGAAGGAAATACAAGGGACCTGTCCTTGTTTGTACGGCATATCATAATAACACTTTTGACAGCATTATACTTGACATCGTGAAGTTCCCAAAACACTGAGCACATGTTCAAGAGCTGCTGAAGACTTACTGAACTGAGACTAAAAATCACAAGGTTGTCACCATACATTAAATGATGCACAACTATACTACTGACCATACATCCCATTCTGCACATATTTAACTCATTAGAGAGATCAGTCATGTAAAAATTAAACAAGATTGGGGAAAGCAGACTATCTTGTCTTAACCCATTACAGGTCTGAAAGGGTGCAGATATACAATTATCCCATTTAACAAACATAGTCTGGTGGGCATACCAATATGACAAACACCTCACGATATATTTAGGCACTCGGGTGTCACACAGTTTCTGGAATAATTTCCTATGATTCACTTGGTCAAAAGCTTTGGAGGCATCTAAAAAGCACATGAATACAGTAGAGTTTTTACTTTTATATTTACTGACTAATTCCTTTTGCGCAAATATACACATATCAGTGCCATGGTTAGTTTTAAACCCAAATTGGTTTGCAGTGGAGCTAATAAGATTGTGAAACCTACTCAAAAGAAGTTCTTCAACAACTTTTAAAAGAATATTAGCAAGTGCAATCAGTCTATAATTATCCGAGCTGCCCACCTTCCCTGCTTTATCCTTCACCATAGGAACCAAAAGTACTGACAAAGAGTAGGCAGAAAAATGTGCATAACAGAGGCAGTAAAGCATATGGCTAAAAGAGAGGATAACCTGAGATTAGTGCACTTAAGATGTCCAACAGAAATGCGGTCCAGCCCAGTAGCCTTATTTTCAGACAAATTACTTATCGCTTGGGAAACTTCATTGGTTCAACAAAGTCAACCTCACTCACTGAAAAAGTTTAACTGGGAATACAATTAAATAACTCGCAATAGTGATGCCGCCAGCTATCTTATCAGGATCAGAAATTCCGTCAATAGTATGGGGAAAGGAGGATCTACTGTTATGAATTTATTTGACGTCCTTCCAAAACGATTTCATATTGTTCCTTAAGAGTTTTTTTGCCATAGAGTCTGACCTCATCTTATATTCATTTTTCAAAATGAGATAAATACAGATAAAAACAGTACTTAAAGCTAGAGACCTCTATCACTCTGTATAATCTCTACAATGTATATATACAGGTATTGCACTGAGGGTTATTGTCTAATCATACTGTCATGGGTTAAGTGTTGTAAGATTTGATTCTTATGAGCTCTAGTTACTTATAAGCTTTAGTTACTTTTCACAGCTTTAGTCCCTTTAGTTACCTTTCATAACTTTATTTTCCCTGTTTATACATATTATAGCTGTACTGATGATTGTCCAGAACTACTGAGCTTTGGTTATTCTTAATGCATTGCTTTTCCTTGCTTATGTATCTTACAATTGTATTGATGAGAATCAAGTGATACTGAGGTAGAAACTGTCTGCTGTAACTTCTGTGTAGAGACAGGATGTCTGCATCTCCAGGCAACCAGACGGCCTATTTACATTTTAAAAAAGCCCTGCCACCTAGACCCACATAGCATAACCCAAGTTCTGCCTCACCAGGGGGTGTCTTACGCACACAGGGGGGCTCACAACCTGAGATGAAAACTTGGCCAGTTTAGCATACTTATTAGCATCACACACACAGGGGGCCTGCAACCAGACAACCCATCATTCTGTGCGCTTGATCAAGACCAAGCTGCCACCTGAGAGATACCCGCACACATATACCTAGACATTACCACATTCTAACAAGGGGGAGCTTCGGTTCACAACAAATGGACATTCATTCATTTTCTACCGCTTAGTCCCTGAACGGGGTCACGGGTGGGGCCGGAGCCAATCCCGGCCGGCAATCAGGCGAAGGCGGGGTACATCCTGGACAGGTCGCCAATCCATCGCAGGGCTAACACATAGACAAACAACCACACATACACATACACACTCCTATGGGCAATTTAGAGACAACAATCAACCTAAGCTGCATGTCTTTGGTCAGCAGGAGGAAGCCGGAGCACCCGAAGAGAACCCACGCAAGCATGGGGAGAACATGCAAACTCCACACAGAAAGGTCCCAGGTGGGGCCCGAACCCGGAACCTTCTCGCTGTGAGGCAACGGCACTAACCACTGTGCCACCGTGCTGCCCTATTTTTTATTATGTGTCTAAAAAATGTTTTAAACTGGGCAATTAAGATAAAAGGTCCTATCTAAATTTTAAACTAGTTAGTGTAAATCCCATAAAAGCATTTGACATGTATTACTGTCAAACATTTGTTAAAGGTTTTTCAACATAACTTAATCTACTGAATGGGTACCAAGCAAAACCCTTTTCTGATTTCAGAGAGAAAATACTGTTGAATTTCCAGCACTTAAAGGCATTTCTTTTCAACAACATAACCACCCTCCTTGGCATCACCTGATTGTCACAGCCAGACATGGCAGACTCAGGTTGGTTAGAGCAAAGTTAACTGATTTGATGGAACAGACCAGAGACGGTGCAAAGTCAAACAAAAGAATCAATCAAAAGCATCGTTCAAAATTTAATACGTTTCTGAAGAGTGGTTTTGAAGCTCAAGTCTGGCTGTCACCATATTGGTAGGGCTTCAGTCCACCTACTACAGCTAATCCAAAAAAGGGCAAAGAGGGGATTGTGTGAGTGGAGCTCCTTAGACAGCTAGCGGGACCCACCCGCCTGTCACTCCCGCCCTTAATTATGCATGACTTTTAGTCTGAATATAATTTAAATGGGCTCCGGCTTCCTCCCACAGTGCAAAGACATGCAGCTTAGGTTGATTGGTGAATCTAAATTGCCTGTAGGAGTGAATATGATATGATCTTGCCCTGTGATAGACTGGCGACCTATCCAGGGTGGACCCCGCCTGTTGCCCAATGTCAGCTGGAATTGGCTGGGGGAAATTTGCTATAGAGACCAAAACTGTTTTTGTACCAGGCTGTAAGCACATTTATTTCTGCTGCATATCTGGGCATTTTGACCTGGAAGTCTATAGGGGACTAACTCCCTTTTGGAGCCAGCCTCAAGTGGCCATTAGAGGAACTGCATGTTTGGACATTTTATTGCAGTTCTCAGCCTTGGAGGTTGCCACATGGTACATACTGTATTATAGTAATTTACTTTTTTTCTATTGCAGCAGAAGCATGTGGTCATCAACATTTGCATGAGTGAGTCTATGTAAGCTTGTAGTATGTGCCACAGAACACTTTTCCTGGGAATCTGCCAGTTTATGAATACAGGTAGCATTGTGCAATGTTAGCTGACTTATTTAGGTTGGGTTACCCACTGAAGCACAAAATAGGGACAGGTTTGAGGAAAATGCAAATTTACCAAAAAAAAAAAAAGTTTTTTAAAAATTAAAAGAGCTGCAATTTGGGGCCAATCAGAAATAGTCATTAAGTAACCAGTGAGTGAAGAAACCACTTTGGATACAATGGAGACTATCAGTGGCAGTGAAAGAAAAATTGTTGGTACTACATACAGTAACTATAAAAGATATCATAAAGGTCTAATGGTGTTTTGTAGATGCCATAGAGGCCATTTAAAGAAGAAAAACATTGTCATAAAAAATCATCCCTTTCTAATGGGCTCATTCGTACAGTGTAAACAAATGTTCATGCCAGCGACTCCAGTTGTTTGTTATTAGACAACAGTTTGGCTCCATTCATCTGCATTAACCCAGACTAACATAATTATGTAGACTGATAAAAGATCAGCTACTGTGTGTGAGAGCAAAAAAAGGAGGCACATGGGCGTAAATGTCGAAGCATTTAACAGCCTGAGCTAGACATCCTGTCTATGTATTAGAAATGTTTAGTGTAAAGTATCTAACCAATGTCTATCTAACTAAAAATACCTAACACTCTGTAGAACTGTATCAGCAGCTTCCGGGGAAGTTCGAACTTCCTGAGCTGGCGCAGGAAGTACATCATCTCCGTTTCAGGTCCTGGGAGATAGTGGAGCCCAGGAACTTGAAGGACTTTATGTCTGTGCAGATTCTCAGTCATCCAGGTCATAGTAAAATTAAATAGCCTTAGAAAAATCAACTGGACTTAGATTTCTAGATCGAAGTTATTTCACCTCTCATCCAAGAGGCTTCATCAGTTCTGACTGACTGGTGTTGAGCCGGAGATATTTATTCCCCACGGTGGTGTTTCAGTCCTTTGAAGGCCAACAATGTCCTTTAATGACTGAGTCATTGCAGCCCGGTATCGGTGAGAGTCGTTACCTGTCTTTGAAACCTCCCCTGTCAACCGACGCCTATTGTCCTGGTGGGCATGTTTAGGCAGAGATCTCAAAACAGGATTGTAGATGGAAGACAAGTTGTGTCTTAGTCTATTTAGTGAGGGGTGTTCTATTTTTACAAAAATAGCTTCCTTAACTCCTCTCTCAAACCAGGGATGTTCTCTGGAAAGGACCTGGACTTCAGTGTCCAAAGAATGTCCTTTGTTCTTCAGGTGGAGGTGGACTGCTGACTCTGGTCTACTGGAGTTGGCCCTCCTGTGTTGGGCCATGCGTTTGTGAAGTGGCTGCTTAGTTTCACCAATGTACAAGTCATTACACTCCTGACTACACTTAATTGCATACACCCCTTCACTCTGTTTATGTCTGGGTGTTTTGTCCTTTGAGTCTCTGCCACAGGGTGTTCCCTGGTTTAAAGTTAAATGGGATATTGTGGTTGTGAAATATCCTTTTTAACTTCTCTAATAAACCAGCCACATAAGGGATGACAGTGTTATCCCCTCTTGTTTCTGGTTTCTCCCTGTTGGTGTTGGGCCTCTTCCTTGCTTTGTTGAAGGCCCACTTAGGGTATCCACAAGCCCTAAGTGAGTTCTGGATGTGTA